TTAAGCTCCCATTTCAGTCTGCAAAAGCCCAACTAGCTTAACGGACCTTTTGCACTTGATGCTGCATTCAAATTGTGTGGGAAAGATTATTGAACAGCTGCTAGTCTATACTTTTATAATAACAATAGTATGTGTAATGTGAAAGAAATTGCTCGTAGTGATGAACCTGCAGAGTTCCCTCAGCTCTACAGAGCGTTTTAGCATCTTTCCCCTCATTGTTGTTGGTTTTCAGGCCTTTAATTTTACTTTTTTTACTCTCTCAGCGCTGTTTTTGGCTCTAGCAAGCAGCTGTTTACAGCAGAAAAGCACTACGACCCCACCTATGTATTCAGCACTGAAAAGCAGCCACAGTTAGCACCTGGCTGGTGACCATCGGCTCATGCATATCAAATCAAGCGTCTCCTAAACGAACAGCTATTGAAGCTGTCACGTCGCTGCGTACGCAACCTGAAGCCTGGAGACTTTTATTCCCGTACGAAAACGCTGTATTAAGTTACTGCTAACAGGAACTGAACATCTCCTGCTGCAGCTTCACATTAAAAGCATTTAACTGGCAGCACACGAGCTGATTGGATGCAACGCTCCGTAATTGTGCAGCTCTACCTGAAACTGTCCTTTACTACCTTTCCCATATGACTTGAATGCAGCGTTAGTGTAAAAGTCAGGATCTGAACCAGTTTCTCCCGACCCAGAAAGCAACAGCTTACTACCTGCCACAGGGAAGTTCCCCAGACTGCCAGCCACCTCCTAAGGGCTACGTTAGCATCACGTGTGGCCTTCTGGCTGCTTCCCCTCCGCCCGTCCTCCCACACCAGAGGAGAGGTGCAAAGTCAAACTGCCCTGAGGTCGACTCCTGCTGTAACCGGGAATAGATTTTAGGCCCACGAGGCAAAGTGAGGCGTCTGTCATAGAACCAGAGGGGGACTCTTCCTGCAGACAGTCTGGAGGATTTGGGGTTACGTGTCTGTGGGCTGTGTTGATGTTAAAATGGCACCAATGATGACTGGAGGGAAAAACAGGTTCAGAAAGTCAGACAGTGTATCAGGTAAAATGAGGTTACGCCTTTTCCTTTCCGAATACACTGTTTTTATATCCAATTAATATCAATATGTGACAGATGCAGACATAAATCACATATGGTATTGTAAGAGTGCTCGTATGGCATGTCCCTTTACCCCAACACTTACCCACCCATGAATGTGAGATATTTGACTTCAGGATATGGTGCTGGGGAAAAAAGCATGTCACTGCTGTTCGCTATTTAAACTAATTTAAAAAGCAGATTTATTTACTCTATAAAGTATGTAAATATATTTATTTACATATTTATTTTCTTTTTGTATATCGCCCTCTTCAATTTGTTCAGTATAAGAGTTGAATGGCTACTGATTATATGTATAAATATATATGAACTGTCTATGGTTGATTGCCAAATGGCTGCAGGTTAAAAAAGGTTTGCCGACAAAATCTCAACAGAAAACAGATTCGCTTTCAGCTTGAAACACGTGATGTGCTGCAGATAAGCTTCGTATTTAGTCAGCGGACTTTGTGGTCAACAGTGTTTTATTTTGAAATCAGAAAAACAGAAAACAAGCTGTTTCCCGGCTACCATTTATAAATATGTGGAACAAAACAGGTCCTTTTTTTATTCTCTTTTGTTTATTTTTCAAAACAGAAATCGGTTGGCTGCAAAGTACACCGACCGTATTTCCTCACACTCTTCTTTTCTTTTTTTAAATATATATATAAAAAACAAACTCAAAAGCTGCTTCAAGAAATCGGTGTGAGAATTTGTGACCTCACCCAGACGCACACTGCCAGATCACACCTCTCGTTTCATCGTCGTCGCTCAGAATCCATCAGCTTTTACGTTCTACCCCCCCCTTTAACAGAAATGAGACGAACCGGTTTCTGTAGTGATCTGTAATGTTTACACTTAGAGCGCCGCTTCCTGAGGCCGTCAGGAGGTCGTGTACATTAAGGGTTTACAAGGGAGAAAAACTGCTTTCTCATGGTCCAGTCTGAGTGTTTGTGCGCGTGTTTCTTCATGAAAACGTCTGCCAGGACTTTACTTGTGTGTACATTGTTGGTTTTTTTAATAATTACTCCTACTGTCCTTTATGACCCCCTCCCTTCCAGCCAATGTAAATGTAAATGTTTTGTACGACTACATGGTTTGTATATGAAAAATGAATTGTAACTGCATAATTTTCAAACCTTTACAGTGTAAAACACGAGAAAAACGCAAATGTCGTCTTCTTTTTTTGGTCATTTATAAAAACAAAATAAATTAATTGTGATGGAATATGATTTGACTAAAGTGTCCGGTTTCCTGCATTAAATGCTCCGAACCACATTGAGCATTCGGGGTCCGTTCTGGGGATCGATGAAGTGGATTCTTGACTCAGCAGGTCTGTCAGCAGTAAATGTCTCATATTTTACGGCGGCGCAGCGACTCTGGAAATCAGCTCACGTCCTGCTCTCCTCCACTTCCTCCTAACAGTCCTGCAGTGAGCTGAGTCACTGATGGAAAGCAGTTCTTCCTCTTGGTCGACTTATATTTTCCCATCCTGGAGAGTTGAATCGCTCCCCTGCAAACACACACACACATTCAGTCCTCTTTATTCTTATCGCCAAATGTTTAACCAAAATCAAAAATACGTATTCCTCCTCTTACCTGTGGTGCTGTTTATTGTTTTGGAGATGTTGGCTGTCTTCTCTCCAAAGCTTTAAACAGCAATGTCTCTTCCCAGAATCATGACCCGGTCACTCAGGACAATCCACAGACCTTGTTGTGTGAGCAGTTTTATGTAGGAACTATTTAACATCCGCCAACCGTAGCTGAACGTTAGCCGTCTCCGTGGTGCTAGGTGAGCTTACCAACGTTACAGCTCAGCTCAGGAGGACGTCATTAATGTTTACATCCTGCGCTGTCACCAGCTTCTGAGTACATGCACGCTTCTTTCTGCACGGTGATACGTAGACAGAAAATAGTTCCTATGTTAACCTGCTCACAGTAAGATCTGTGATTTTTGGAGAGAGACGTTGCTGTTTAGTTTTTCAAATGTATTTTTTGGTGCTTTGAGAACCACAACAGTGGTTCCATTATATCGGAGAGAAGGCAGACGTCTCTACAGGCTGATATCTCCAAAACTCAGCAACTCACTACACAACACACTTTTTATGGGGTGAACTGTCCCTTTAACTTGCCCTGGTTCTAAAACGAACCCTAAAATGTTCCCAGGTGAAGAGCAGCAGCGGTCCTGACTTTCAATTCCTCTCTACAAGTACAAGAACACACTCACACACTCACCTATTTGCGGCGCTTGTTGCCTTTGATTTTCTGGATCTCCTTGGAGCTGAGGATCAGCATCCCGTTCTTGAAGCGGCCCACCTGTCCCGAGGGGGCCGTACCAGAACCAGAGGACTCCTTCTTCTTCTTCTTGTCCCTGATGGAGACGACAGACACAGGTTTCAGCCACAGAGAAGCAACAAGACCGACTGTATGTACACATCTGTTCATTTCTAATGCTAAACACTGTCCACATCTTTCCACATGTGACTTACTGATAATGAAGGATGTGTTATGTATCTTAGGGACTACTTCTAATAACTTACAGATTCAAGAACACTTATAAAGAGAAAATGTTTGATGATGTTAGTTTGGATACTAAATGTTGGCTGATTTATTCAGAAACGTCTCACACACCTCTGATTACTCTGCTTCTTCTTTTTCTTCAGGTCCTACAGAGCAGTGACGCAGCAGAGAGCAAAGAAGAACAGGCAGATTAAAAATTACCATCAAATTGTTTATTTACAGCCCTGAAAACTACCAAATACATCTTTTTTATAATGCAAATAAAGCTGTAACAGGATTACAGCTGAGGGCTGCAGGTCTTACCGGCTGAACCTCCTCTCTCGCTTTCTGCTTCTTCTCTTTGATCTGCTGCTGCAGCATCTTGTAGTTGACATAATCCTTCTTAGGAGGCTGATCAAGAGACAATAATTAAATTGAAATGGTCACTCGGCTGTTAAAAAAGGCCGTGCGGGGGAGAATTAAATATGTGCGGCATTCTTACTCTGGCTCCCAGCATGACCGCTCTGTCCTGCTCAAAAACACGCTGCTGCTCCTTCTTATAGCCGGTGATTCCAAAGCGATGGACCTCCAGACGAGCCTGAGGAACAAACACAAATACAGTGTAAGGAACTTAAACACACCACAGACATAAATACAAGATCATTATTTTAATTCAGGTTAGGCAGCAACAAAATCAGGGTTTCTGCAGGTTTCAACAGGTTCAATTTAAGACTTTCTAAGACCATTATGAATTAAATTTAAGTCATATTTTATGTCCATGCTGTTAAAAAAAGGATATGAAGGGAACTTCTGTTTTTGTAATTTGTAAACTTTTTCCGTAAAACACATTTAAAAGTGAGACTGAAAAATTAAACTTTATATGAGTAATGTAACTTCATTAAGCCAATACCTTTTTAAGTATTGTCAAAATCAAATTTAAGACATTTAAGCTCTAAAATTCACATTATTGGATTTAAAACTCTGCAAAAATCCTGAAAATAAAATAAATTCACACACTGCAAGACTGAAATCTGAAACCAAAACGTACTTTTGTGCATCATGAATATAAATGCTGCAAACATAATGATATATATATATATAAATATAATCCGTGATAAAACCGTCACCTTTTCCAAACTGAGCACTTCTGGCTGCTCGCTTTGCTTCTCCTCCGTTGTCTGAGGGGCCTGGAAGTGAAGACGGCACAGAGCCAGAGGCAACACAGAGACAAGGAGAGGGAGAGTGAAGTGGATGGATGGTGACAGGAAGAACAGAAACAGAGGAGGTTAACTACAGGTCACATTGGGCTCAAGTTTCCAAGATGAAAAAGCTTCTGCATTTGCACAAACAGATCACTCGTTGGAAAATGTGTCACTGTTTTATCCTGTAAAGGAATATTTTCTGTTATATATTCCTGCAAACAGCTGATTATTTTCTCCCTGCAGATGGATAATGAAGATTTTTCCTCCAGATCATTTAAATCTAATTTACATTTATATTCTGGACTATTCTTTATGACCCTGTGTGGAACAAATCATCTAATTTTTTATATTTATGAGTTTATGAGCTGTAACGATTAGTAGATCATTGATAAAACCATCAACAGAAAAGAAATAAGAAGCTATTTGGATGATTTATTCACAGTTTAAGTAATTTTTAAAGCAGTTCCAGATTCTTAAATGTCAGGATTTTATTTTTTTTGTTACATATAAACTGAATATCTTCGTGTTTTGGTCAAATAAAACAACATATATGAATACATCGTATCAGAAATGATAATAATTTTTACTATTTTCTAGACTTTTATAGACCAAACAATTATTTGATTAATTGACAAAATAACTGGGAAATTAACTAATAATGAAAATAATACTTTAAACCCTATTTCGATCTCGATCCTGTACAGTGAAGCAGAATATAACAACCTGTAATGTGTCTTATGGAGGCACAGCTTCCCAACTCTGAGAGTTTTACCTCTAACGGGGGAAGACGATGAGCAGTTAATGCACCAGACACATTAACTGGCCTCATATCGTATATATCATATTGTACGTACACAGAGAAGTCTACAGTATTACTGTATGCAGACTTACAGGCGCTCTGTCGGGCGCAGGCGTCTGCTGCTTGGTTTTCTGTTTCTTTCTGGGATCCTGAAAGGTCACGACCTCCACGCGGCTCACCTGCTGGACGGTTGGACCTGAGAAAGACGAGACACATTCAGAGCAAAAGGAGGAAGACTGGAGGTCAAAGGAGACATTTTAATGACAGACATACAGGCAGTATGTACGGAGGCTGCTGTGCAAAGATAATCAATTCATTACTGATTAGTTTGAGTGTTAAATCAAACATCAATAAACCTCTGTCTACCTGTGTGTTCAGTCTTTGGTTGTTTCTGCTCGGGTTCATCGTGATCTGCTCTGCTGCCTTCAGTGTCACTGTAGATATCATCGCCTGTAGGGAACTCTTCATCCTCCTCAACCTCTTCCTCATCTCGTTTTCTCTTTTTCTTCTTTTGAGACTTGAGCTTCTTTTTGGATGCCGGTCCGTTACCTGCACCATCAGTCCACAACAGGGGCGTTAAATGAATGTCAGCCGGACTCAAACATGATTAACTGCTCTGAACGTCCTTCTGCGCTCGGCTTCAACAATGTGCTGTCAGCATTTATCTCTGAAGTTCATTTACAATCTACACAAAGCAATAAAACAACTCTGCCAGGACTTCTACCTCTTCTAGTTGTTAATTCAACTATACCTTTATTACTGAGGTTGTTACAGATGGGGCTTTCTATGTGCTAAACACTAAAAAAACACATGATATATCAGAATATGAGCCCTTTATATATTATACACATAATAACAATCACCTTTAAGACTCAAAGTGACAGAAACAAACTCACTCTGACTGACTGTGTGTGTTATATCACTGCCCACAGATGTATTCAGATATATGAGCCCGTGTTAGCGTATATACATAAGTAATGTTTATATTATAATACTTTAAGTATATAAGCCCATTATATAAATTAATTATAATATAATACTGTCTAAATAAGATATGAGGCCTTTTACTATACATAATAATGTATATATTAATAGTTAATATCATGAGCCCATATAATATATACATTATATATATGATCTGTTTTAATATATGAAGCTGATCTATATACATCTATATGTATAATTATATAATTAATATAATAACCAATGATAGTATACGGATTAAAGATATATTACAATAATAACTGTTGAAGATATATAAGCCTCTATTTTATATTACAAATAGTCACATATAGTATATATTTACTGGATAATATATAAAGCCGCCTATTTAATATAACATCTTATTAAATATATATGATTTAAATCATATAAGCCCTATTCTATATAACGATAACAAGGAATTATAATATAATATACTGTTAATATATAACCCTCGATTATATATACATTATAATATATATACTAGTTAAAATTATATAAGCCCTTTAATGATATCAAAAACTTACCTAGTAAAACAGTTATAATATAAATAAAATAAAATTACTGTTAATATTATAAGGCCATCGTTGTTATTATAATTATATTAATATATACTGATTTTAATATATAAGCCCTTTAATCATCATACATACAAAATGTTATAATGAGATATACTGTTGAAATATAAAGCCTAACCCGCATCCTTTAATAGTAACATCTTAACCACATAAATAATAAAACTTTTATATACATTATATATATATTATAGTTACTTTTAGCAATAGGGGGGTCAACATGCAGTAAACAGTAACACGCTTAAAGTGGCGCATAAGTTACACAATAAGGACATTATCGTGTCTCATATGAACACTTATACTGTCACTGAGTTAAATCATTATTATATTATATTATATGATGTTATATTATATTATTAAAGGGGTGAACGCTCAGCCGGGGAGAAGCTAAGCTAACTGAACTCACCGAGGTCGTAGAGTTTTTCCAGGACGTGTTCTAGAAACAGACTCTCTCCGCGTCCTGCTCCGTCCGTCTGCGGGTCCATGTTCGTACAAAGCAGGTTAAATAAACAACAAACGGAGTCAACAACAGCACGGAGGACAACAAACGGCGAAAACACACGTGGGACGGTACGGATAAACGTCCTCTCCCGGCTGCCGTAGCTGCGGAAATGCTACGGAAGTGCTAGTTTTTTTAACACGCCCATGCTCAGCTGTTCAGGAGTCGTTCTCAACGAAAAGTGGCCCAAAAAGAGGAAGAACAGCACGAATATTGGTGCTACAGGAGCTTACAACTGGATGCATTGTGTATGTGTTTGTAGAGGAGGATAAAATGGCTTCGGACGCAGTTTATTCGGTATGTATAGTTTGCTTTCAGAGAGCTAAAGCTCAGTTAGCTCTTGTTTGACATTTGATGCAAACAGGTGAATGCAACATAATTAAACATAATTAATACTTCTGTAACAGCATCTGTTCTGGCTGTTAAATGCATTTAGTGTTTTAGTTGAAGCTGTTTAAGTCGTTTATTTCCATTTGCATGCACTGTAATGCAACCACTCCTTTAAGTTGCTTTATTCTGGTTAATGCTGCTTTTTCTGCAAAGGCTTTGCACAGTTTTACTGTTTTTAACTGATTTCCTGCTTTAAAGGATGTAACTCTGCAGTTGCTTCAGTGTTTCCCAACACTGCTGGTTTCCTGCAGAGGTGGAAACTATCTGAAGGCCAGTGGTCGAAGGAGAATTCAGTTCCTTTACTTTAGAGAGATATAAAATGAAATGATATAAAATGAAATGATGAAATTCATTTTAAAGCTCTCCTCCAGTCAGGACTCAGAGTTTGTTCTTGTTCCTGCAGTGTTTGTTTGTGATGTTTGTGATGTTTGAATGAGTCTGACACTAGAATGATGTTTTCACATTCATCTGCTGAAAGTGACAGAATCTGATTTTAAAGCTCCAGTGTGAAACATTGAGGAGGATCTATTGGATGTATTGTTGTTTGCATTAGTGTATAAGCACCTCGATATTGTTATATTGTATTATTGTTACCTTAGAACGAGCTACAGGAGACCACAGTGTTTCTACAGTAGCCCAGAACGGACAAACCAAACCCTCGCTGTAGATGTTTAAAACATTGTTTCATGGCCACCGTAGTTTCAGTGTTCAGTTAATTGAAATCTGAAACTTCCTACAAATCCTGACAACACACTGGTCCTTTAATGGTCCTTTAATACTTAAGCAGTCAGTCCTGGTCCAGTCTGAAACTTCTACAGGTGTGATGTAGAAACCTGAAGCCACCATTGAACGGACACTGAGAATGGACTTTACAGTAAAGGAGGAGACATTTTGCATATTTAGTTTTATATATTCTGGAATTTGTTTTGAGTTAGCAGGATTATTTGACTTTTTAAGGATTTTAATGTGGAAATTATACCTTTTCCCCTGCAGAAATCAGACACACATTGTTGTTCCAAGTAGATTATATGTATATATTTCTTAATAACAACTAAAGCTGTCTAATGTAGTGGAGTAAAAAGTACAATTATTTCCCTCTGAGATGTTTGATGTATAAAGTTGCATAAAATGGAGACTCAGAGAGGGAATTATTGTGCTTTTCCCTCCACTATAGTTATTTGGTAGCTTAAGTTGTTGTTTACTTTTACAGGATTTGACATATAACATGAGCAACAAATAAACTCTATAGTGCTGTCAGAGATTAAACTGCAGTTTATAAAGCAGTTCAAATCTGCTTCACCTCAAAAAGGTACATGATAATAAGCTTTTTTTAAAGAAGATTTTGGAACGCAAGAAGTATTTCTACTTGTCAATATAATAACCTGTTAATAACCTGTCAATATTTGTCGTAGTAAAATCTAGTGTCTAACTCTCTTACCTTTGACTAAAAGTGTAGAATAAATCCCATCCAGTTATGGCTTCAGTCACTGTTTGGTACTGTGAATTTCTCAGAAATAAAGTATATTAAAATACTTTATGGTTACAAGTCTGATTCTAATGTTGTGTGTTTGTGTTTTCTAGCATAAAGACCCGATGCTGAAGAAAAGAGATGACTTTGAGGACATTTTGGAGGAGAGGAGGACGTCCAGCGACCTGCGATACGCTCTCAGATGTTACACGCCGGTTCTGTACAAAGGCGTGACGCCCTGTAAAGCCGGCGTGCTGAAGAGCATGGTGCTGCAGTCCGATCAGCTGCTCTACGTCATCAATCAGGTAAAGTGGAGGGCTGACTGACAGCGGGTTGCGGTTCTGGTTTTACCTGATTGATGTGGTCTCAAGATTAAGCTCAAAAGTTGGCAGGTTAGTTAACGATGAGTTAACGATGTTTTTGTGTAGTTTTCTAGTCTTTTTGTGGTTTAGAGACTTTTTACTGAGGGTTTATCCATCAATCATGCAACATTAAAGAACTGATAAAAGCAGATTTGTGTAAACTACAGTGTAAACTTTATAATCGTCTTTATGGAGCTGACATAAATCATTTATCAGCTCACAGGAAAACAATTGTCATACCATATTATTAATATTAAGTTTGATTATTAACAAAACAGGATACCAGGACTCATAATTATCTTGTTTATTTTGGACAAAACATGCATTTTTAGATATAAACCATCATCAGCACCAAAATAAACAATAAGATAATTTATCTGTGAGTGCTGCCATCCTGTGGTGGTTTGATTATTAAAACCATATTCAAGTTGGTACAGATATCTACTTTTTTATAACTAATTAACAGAACATAGTTTCTTTACTTACTTTACTTATAGTAAATATTACGTATTAGTATTAGGGCCTCCCTTAGGAGATATAAGTCAAAATATTAAGACATATTTATTTCAAGAACAAAGTCAAAAATTTTAGGATAAAAAAAAAAGTCATAATATTTCCAGAAAGTCAAATAGGTTGATTTATGTTTTATCTTTTCCTGACAGTCCATTGCAGTTACTTTAACGTCAGACTGCCTCTCTACTCCAGTTAACATTTGTGTGAACAATAAGCCACACAGTGGTGAGCCAACAAGAGTTAGTTTTAGGTTCTCATCCTCCAATGAACGGCAGCGCACATCTGTGTCTGTCAGATGGTCTGAACGGGACTCAGCTCAGATCCTGGCTGCCTTTCACGTCATTTACATAAAGCCCACTGAGCTTCAGTCGCTTTCTGATGCCACCACTGAGCTCTGGTCTCAGCTGCCTGCAGAAAAACCAGGTCCCCGCTGTTCTCCAGCTGCTGATTCAAAGCACATCTGGCCATCGACTCGTATATCATGTGACTGGTTTCATTTTCTCAGCTGCTTCTTGGTGAAACCTGTAACTTCAGGTCCTCAATGTCACTCTGTTTACACACAATATACTGACTGCACTCTTCTGTTTACTGCAAGAGAATATTGAAACCTTAATTTTATTCTCTTTTTATTCAAAATATTGCCGCTTTATTCTCAATATCTCAGGTCTTTTTTCCTCAGTGTGCCACTACTACAGTACTCTGCCCTAAAATATTACATTAGCTACTAAAAAATAACATTTTTAGGCTACAAAGTTGTACAAAGCAGAAAAAGAAGAAGAAAAACATCAAATATATTCTGTTATATTATTATTATTATTATATATTCTAAATGAATAAAAAACTACTAACTCATTTAATTAAGGGGGTTTTATTGCTTCTACTGTACAGGATAATTTATTTTATGTTGAATTATCAAGGTCTCCAAAGAGTCGGGCAGGGCTGCTGACGATGTCCGGGAGGAGGCGTCGGCCATCCTGGAGGAGATGGCTCACTCTCTGCAGCTCAGCACCGTTCGCTTCTTTGCCTTCACGCTCAGCAAAGTCTTTAAAACCTTGTTCAGGAGCATCTGTGTGAACGAGGAGGGCATCCAGAGGGTGAGAATACGCAACGTGTTGGACACTCAAGTGTGGGCGACACTGTTAAGATGTCTGATGACGCGTATAAACACACTCCTGATGTGCTCTCTTTGCTTTGTTGTTAGCTCCAACAGGCCATTCAGGAGCACCCGGTGGTCCTGCTACCCAGCCACCGTAGCTACATGGACTTCCTGCTGATGTCATACATCCTGTACACCTACGACCTGGCTCTGCCTGTCATCGCTGCCGGCATGGGTGAGCACTGAAAAGAAGAGTGTGAAGCTTTTTTTCTGGAGACCAGCAATAATCGCGTTCATACAAAATAAAAGCAGCAGCAATAAAAGTTAATTAAAATGTAAACTGTGGTATATTTGAATGTTTTGGTTCATTAAATGAGGGGGAGAATATTAGAAACTCTTCGTTATCCAACAGCAGGTTTGAACCTTCAGTTTGTGTGTCTATGCAGACTTCATGGGGATGAAGTTTGTCGGGGAGATGCTGCGGATGTCTGGAGCTTTCTTCATCCGGAGGTCGTTTGGTGGAGACAAACTGTACTGGTCTGTCTTCTCGGAGTACGTCAAGACCATGCTGAAGGTGAGGATGCTGTTTTTTTGTTGTATAAAGGAATAGTGGCTGTTTGAAAGCCATTTTATTCACTGATAGAGTGAACACAGTCTATAGAACTTATGCAATGTTATTATTTCTGTATCTTGGAGATGTAGTACAGATTATTTTAGTTTTTGACCTCTTTGTTTTTCCCTTCAGAATGGATATGCACCAGTTGAATTTTTCCTTGAGGGGACCAGGAGTCGAACTTCTAAGTCTTTGACTCCAAAGTTGGGTAAGTTGCAAGGAAAAGCACCTATAAACTCTCCCGTTTACAGGAAAAACACCTGTCAAACATCTGCACTCAGGTGTTTTTCCTGTTAAAAACATCAGAATCAGAATGAGGATTATTGCCAAGTAAGTTTTCACATACGAGGAAGTTGCCTCTGTATTTTAGTGCATAAAATAAACAAGTACCATAAGTTAATCTTAAATATGAAATAGAAATTTATAATCAAAAATATCAAATATATGTTTAAAAATGAAAAAAGTCTAAATATTGTACAATAAGTGAATCCCAGCATCACTAATAATTAGCAAAGTCAAAATATTAAAGTATATCTTTAACCTGGTTCTGCGAATGTTCCCAGTTTTCTGCGTTCCTGTTTATTCTCACTGATGTGTGACTCGTTTTATTGTCGCCCTCCATCTTCCCGCCCTCCTCCAGGTCTGCTGAATATCGTCATGGATCCGTTCCTTAAAGGGGAGGTGTTTGACGTCAGCGTGGTCCCCGTCAGTATCAGCTATGAGAGGATCTTGGAGGAGTCGCTTTATGCCAGAGAACTTCTGGGTGTACCCAAACCCAAAGAGTCCACTTCAGTGAGTCATTTAAACCAAGGACTCGTTTTATAAATGATAAAACTGTAACATCACTACATCTGCTCTTGTTCTTTTCTCCTTGGTAGGGTCTGTTTAAAGCCAGAAAGGTCCTCAGTGAAGACTACGGCAGCATCCATGTGTACTTCGGTCAACCCGTGTCTGTCAGGAGTTTAGCTGAGGGCAGAGTTAACCGCTGCCAGTTCAACCTGGTACCGAGGTACGATATTCCAACATTAAAGGAACTGTTAGACATCCTGTACCGGTCTCATGTCTGTGTACGTTACTCTGCTGGAATACTTACTGCACCATGTACAGTAGGAGAAGTTAGAGTTTATTTCATATGTCCTGTTGTGCATCAGTAGAACTGTTGTCTTCTTTAGGCTTCAAGTCGACCAATAAACACATGGCACAATTAGGACGAATAAGTGATTCTCAAAAACAGATTATTCAAACAGGATTTAGAAATCAGTGCACGGCAAAAACAACAATAAAAAGAGTAAAAGTTAATTAAATAAGACGACAATAAAAGATGAGTAGTTAAAATAATAAAAGAAAACATATTATGAGATACTGCCCAAAATAGATAATAATAAAACAGTAAAATAATGATAAGATAAAATAAGTAATGGTCAGGTGAAATATTTTGGAGCTGCATTCAGACCAGTTTATGAGTTGTTTGTTAATCTGCAGGAGGTAGTTACAACAATATAGGGGGGATAGATCACACACAACCAAATGTTTGCAGTGTCCATCTGTCTTAATGTTTCCACTCAAACTCTTGTGTCTATCATATGTATAAGCCTGTATAAAAGATGTGTTACTGTCTCAACTACATGCTGTACTAGTTTCCATGAGTTCAGTGTTGAAAGTGCTCATTGTGCAGAATCATATATATTATATTATTGGATTATAATTAATGAGGCTTTAATGTGTTTATTACTTTAATGTTGCAGCTGTATACTTTATATACTGCATGTTAGCTCAACCTACAATAATGTATCATCATTTATTAGTCTGTTTATATTTTGTATTCATAATCTGAATCTGCAAAGTAACTTTTAACTTAAGTTGTCACGTAAAAGTAATGGAGTAGAAGTATAAAGTACAAGTCTTGCTCAGCTGAATCGGTGATCCTGAACCGTAAGCTTCCCGTTTCCAGACACGTCCCCAGGAGGCCCAGCGAGGAGATCCAGAGCTTCGTGAACGACTCGGCCTACAGGCTGGTGAGGGCCCAGGAGGAGAACATGGTCCTGAAGCCGTGGGTCCTCCTGGCCTCCCTGCTGCTCCAGAACCACCACCAGAACCGGGCGGTGGGGCAGAAACCAGGGATGGCGCTGGACGAGCTGACGGCTCAGGCCATGTGGCTCAGGGACGTTTCCCGGCAGTACGGAGCCTTCCTGCACTGGCACGGTACAGTACGAGTCCAGTACTCGCTCTTACAGGGGTAGTTCGGTTTACTGGTGTTACATTTTCACCACTTTGGCCTTTGGTTTTATACACCACTGACATTGTTTTTGTCTGTTCTGTTCTTCCTCTCCTTCAGACCACACGTCTCCATCAGAGGTAGTTTCCTCCAGTCTTTCCCTGCACCGAGGTTTAGTGAGGGTCTGTGAGGGCAGAATCCAGCTGGCAGTGGAACAAGGTGTGTATCTGTTTGGGTTTCGTGCTTTGATTTGTGTTTCACTGCTGTTATAGATAAGGGCAGTGCTTCAAAGGTAGGATAGAGTGCATTTAAGGCATCGAGCTGCCTCTAACACAGTCCAGTTTATAGTTCCTGTGATCAGACTGATACTTTAAGTTCACTGTGCTTGAAAAAAGTCTTTGAGACAGAGGTGAGATTGTGAGCTTTTTAATTAAATGCATTTAAACCTTTTGAAGTACACATCTCTGATTGTGTTTTTTTAGATAAATGTTCTTTTATTTATCAATTCACTGTTAATTTAGACTCATTTGTAAGAACATTTGTCAGTTTTCTCAAGCGTCATTCACTCTTTTACTTCCTTAAATTGTAGTTAAATTAATAAACAGCCCAGACACACATCTAACAACGTGTCTAATTAAATCTGGAAAACAAATGAGTCACTCCAGTTAAAAGGAAAGTCACTTTTATTTGTGAAATTGTCATCAAAGCTTTTATAACACTGTATATTATATACAGAGTAGAGTATATCTGACAGTTTATGAACAAACCCTAACCAATGTTTTTTGTGCCTAAAGCTAACCAGACCTTAACCACAGTAGTTTGATATTAGAAAATCTCTACTAATAAACTTCTGAAATGTAAAATGTATATATCTGACCTGTATGTAGAATAAAAAGCTATTTAAGATATACTATAGTAAGAGTTAATAAATGGTTTATAACACTCTATGATGTAGTTATAAGCAGATATAAAGTGTCAATGAAGATATATTTTATATTGTTTTGTCATTCATTATCAGTCAGCCTCCACTTTGCCCATAATATATTATATATTATAGTTGCTGACAATAAATGCCAATAAACACTTCTGCTTACAGTTATATTATAGAGTTTTATGAACATGTATTTATGTTTCTGTTTATGAACACAAGTGTTAACAATACAAGAAATTATTTTAAAAATCTTCCATCTTCTGACTTTAAACTTTGTCTCGTCGCAGGAGGACAAAGCGGACCGGGGGATCCTCTCAGCACCGCCACCCCAGAAGAGGAGCTCTTTAGCCAGGCAGTCGTCATTCTCTCCTGTGCCTCCTACAGGAACCAGACGCTGCACGTCTTCGTCCGACCGGCTCTGCTGGCCTCGGCCATCCACATCGCCTCCTCCAACCAGAAACGTAAGACTGACACCGCTGTTTTAAACGTGTGCTGCTTCCTGTCTGCTGAAACAATACAACCTGTATGAGTGAAGAATTTAATTTAATTTAATTTAGTTTAATTTGATTTGAGACAACAAACAGGCCCTCACAGTCTCCATCCTTAGATCGTTTTTTCTGCCAGAAAAATCCAATTTAAAAACCAAAAAAAGAAGAAACCTTTGGAAAAGCAAGATTCTTAATTAAATTTTACCAGGTGAGAAAATTATTCTCTTTTTACCTCAAGAAATAAAGGCACAAAAAGGAACTTTTCTTGCCTTTCAGTAATTTCAGTGCTGGTTGAGCTCACTCATTATTCATTATGTGTGAATTGTTATGTGTTTCTTTGTTTCCAGAGGAAGTCTTCAACAGTTTCAGCTTCCTCAGAAACATGTTCTCCAGTGAGTTCATCCTCTGTCCTGGTGCTACGGTGCAGGTGAGGAACAACGTGTAAATACAGACCCAACAGTAAATAAATGACTGTGCAACCGTTCAGACTTTCAGTGTGGGTTTCATCGTGTCTTGCAGGACTTCGAGGAGGCCTGTTACCTGCTGGTGAAGACCGGAGTTCTGCAGGTTACCCAGCAGGAGGTTCTGGTAACAGAAAGAGGACACAGGATGCTGGCCTTCCTCACCAGCATGCTAGATCCCTTCTTACAGGGATACCAGGTGAGGGAGACATTCTCTGTATCTGCACACTGGATTAAAGCTCCTGAACGTCATTAGACTTGGAACAGGCAGCGTTTCTGCCGCTCACATCAAAACCGTAACAAAAGACAAAGCTCGATGACTTTGTGAAGTAGTTTGCCGTCATTGCAGTCAGCTTCTCCCGGTTAGGATTCCTTCAGTGTTCATGGTTCAGGAGGTTTCTACCGGGAGCCCAATTATCCACAGAGGTCTCCTCGTCAAAATTTCAGCGACCCGCGCAAATCTAAATTAACAACTTGAAAGTAAACATGCCCAGT